ATTCTTTATTTTTTTCATGTTGCATTAGTTGTGCATTCTGCATCTGTTCCATGGTTAAGGTGATTATCAATGACAAGAGTTCTCTCAAGCATCTATCCATCTAATTACATCTATCACTCCATCTCTCTCTCTCTCTCTCTCTCTCTGTCTCTCTCTCTCTCTCTCTCTCTCTGTCTCTCTCTCTCTCTCTCTCTCTCTCTCTACCTCTCCTCGCATCCCCTCTAATCCAGCCAACTCTTCTTTCTGCAGGACTGAACAACAATGAATGTGTCTTCTCGTTTACTTGTCTCTATCACATTTTATCTTTTCTTTTTTGTCTTGCTTTCCTGATATTCCTCTTCATGCATTTCTCCTGCGTCATATTAGTACCTAATGAGAGAAAAGTATGTGTGTGTGTGTGTGTGTGTGTGTGTGTGTGTGTGTGTGTGTGTGTACATATTTGAAGAGGAACCCCATGCTGTGAGTGTAATTTCTTGTTTGTACATGGTTCCAAGCATCTTTGGCCACTGCAGAGCTAGGGAAAAGATATTTAGAGAGACACAGAGATTGAACAAGACCAAAAAAGATTGAGAGAAAAAGGAAGGAGAGGGGGGTGAGGGGAAAACAGGATGATAACAAAAGCAGCTCGGATTTCACAGACGCATATTTCATCAATCATCTGAATAAGTCGTGGTGATTATGCATGGCGGTGGCAGGACGGGTGGGGGGGGGGGGGGGGGGCTGATTACCATACACCATAAAGGCAGCTTTCTTATCTCGCACACACTGATTAGTTTCTGTCTACAGATAGCCTCTCACTCTTCGCACTTTGCCATGCACACTCATCGGGCACCGTACACATGCATGCATGGGCTCACAAAAAACAGGCTCACACACACAAACACAACTTTGCTAAAACTCCAGGTACATGAGATCTACTTAAAGACAGTAAACAAACCTCAAGAGCTGGATGAGAAAAGTTCATGGAGGCTTTTATTGCCAACCGGTTTCACTCAAAACAAGTTTTAGATTTGATGCTTGAGAGATATGGAAATGTACTAAACAGTTGGTCAAAGCTGTAGTCAAACAAGGACCTGGACTACAAAAGGCACAAATTACAGAAAAGTGTTTTCAGGAAAATGCACATAATCTGACTAGAAAGCTCTTACAAATTTATCTTAATTTAATGTTTTAGTGCCATAAATATGTTTTTATATCTTGGCAGCTGACATGACCAAAATATATGTTGTATTCTTGTTTTTGTTTTTTTTATCTTACTCTCAGGCTGATATACTGAAGTCATGTTTTGGTAATGTGTAAGTCATTTTTGTAAAACTGTCACCTTTACATGATACAGAACACGAGAGAAAGTGAGATGAACGAGGAAGAGGAGTTTAGGTTGAGGCAAAATTAGCCACGAAAGAATGGCCTAGCTTTGTGTCTCAACCAGGGAATTAGAAATTACTCCTTTCTCTTGCACTGCCCTCTCTCTCTCTTGCCCTGATATATAATGTAAACTCATTTGGTAACCAGGCTGGAGCTCCGTTTGGTCTGTCTGAGTGCCTGCATGTGAGAAGTGTGCCTGGGACGCATTAGGGCCTCCTGACAGGGGCCTGGGTGAAATAAGTGAAATTAATGGAGCTCCTTTCATGTCGGACAAGGCCGCGGCACCCCTTTCACGCCGCGTACAGTCACAGAAAAGTCAATACTTTTTTATTACTCCTCGCTTGCCCTACATTCCCCGCTACAAGTGCTCTGCTCGCTAATTGGTTTCAGTTTGCAGAGAAAGAGGGAGAGGAAAAAAGGGGGAGAAAGAGAGGGAGAGGACTCCATCCCAAAGAACACTGAAGCAAATAAATCAATCTCATATTTTTTCTCCTCGATGTCTTTTTTCATTGAGTAACATGATGGCAGAGAGGGGGAGAGACGAGAGAAATAGAGGAGAGAGGGTAAATGGTTGGTTAGAGCACGCCTGGTCCCCTGGGAGCATAATGATAACTGGGAGCCTGTTAATGGAGACGAGTGGTTAAAGTGGTCTGGGGCCCTGGCCAGGTCACCCCTGGGGGTTTTTAACCAGCAACCTCCCCTCAGTTGGCTGCTTGTGCTCTGGGCTAAGAGGTACAGTGGAGCACCCCTCCAAAATACAATTTCAGGAGAATGTTTTGATAAATTTGCAGAAAATGACTTCATACTCAACAATGTATGAGTGCAGTCAGTCGGGATTTAGAAGTAAGGCTCCCTATGCTTTAAACCCTGTTTAGTGATTGTTCAGTGTGACGTGTCCCAAGCCCTGATAAACCTGTATGTAAAAATCCCCACATTTACTGTCAGATTGGTGCTGCATAGACACATATTTTTCAACTGAAACGAGAATGTAATTGAGCAGAACTTCCAAATGACAAAGTTACACAGACACTTTGTGAGGGATTTGGAATTTGACAACTGTAGAAATTGTATAACTATGCGTGCCTGCATTCCTGTGTATGTCTGCAAATGAGTGTGTGTGTTAGTGTATGTGTGTGTATTTGGTGTATGTATGTGTCCTGTCTTCAAGTATGCTGTTCAGTGTTGTGCTAAGTGTAAGTGGCAGTGGGGTTAGCCTCTTTCAGAAACACCACAATCAGAAATTAATGTGACACTTTGAACCCGCCCCCCCCTGCAAGCCACCTCCCTCCAACACACAAACACACTCACACACTAATGAGCCTCCAGTAAAAGGAGGCTCCACCAGTCTCGTTTTCCTTCTGCGTCCCAGCTTTCACAGCTCTATAGTGTGGGCCAGGGTAGGTTTGGGGGGTTACAGCATGTGCGTATGTGTGTGCGTGTGAGTGTGTGCATATGTGTGTGAAGGAGCTGTCACACAGGGCTGGCATCACCGTCCAGTTTGCCATCTCTTCCTCAGCTTGACAAGTGCCTGCTCCCTACCCTATGGCTAACACACACACACACACACACACACACACACACACACACACACACACACAAAAAGACTGTCTCTCTCACTCCTCTCTCAAACACGTGATATGTTTACACATCGATCACAAATTTGTATGAACTGTATGCATGCCTACAATGAATAAATATCTGAAAACGCATACACATCTAGTCACTCTGTCAATCACATGGTGCATATTACTCAATGAATGTGTGACAAAACACACAGCATGCTCTCCATGCAGTGGCAATAACACATCAAATCACATCAATGTTCCCAAAAACTGTTGCTGAATTTACACTGGAATTTGCTTCAACTTTTGTGCTGAGAGTTGTGTGTGTGTGTGGCCTCCCCATGTGATGGTTCTGTGTGAGTGTGTGTGTTTGTGTGTGAGATCTTCTCGGCAGTTGCTGGTGTCAGACTGCAGAGGGGTTCTGTTTGTTACAAGGACAGGCTTGTCCCCACCCCCAGGCGTCAGCATTATGATGATTGTCATGGCGATGGAGTGTGAGTGACAGGCGGGATCACATGTGGTAGCCGGGGAGCAGGAAGCCCGAACCGCCCCAGTCTTTGACATTAGTTTGTCCTTCATCAAAACTTTACATTCGTTTGTAACTACTCACTCCCTCTGTTGCAAAAATCTCTCGTTTATTCCTTTTTTAAACCATCTGTCTCTCTCATGTTCTGCTCTCAATTTCTCTCTTTTATTTGTAGTTTTCTGACACTTTCTCTCTAATTTACATTTCATTTAAAACTCTAATATCCCCCAATCTCTTTCTCTCCTCAGCTCTCTCTCTTAATCAGGTTTTTCTTGGTCAGTAGTCCTCCAGCTCAAAGCCGAAGACATGTGTTTTTTTTCTTCTCATATATAGCTTTGTGGTAACTTAGACAATGTATAAAAGTGAATAAATGAACAACAGGATGTATCTTTTTATACCTAAACACATGCAAACAGAGACATAAAGTAACATGCATTATGCTTCCAAGAGCAACCAGACTTGCTCAGATCCACCAATGGAAAAAGTGTCTGTGTATAAGCTATTATGAGCCTGAGCAGTGTTTTTTTGGTCAAGATGTATGTGTTGATGCAAACTTGTACCTGTGTGTGTGTGTGTGTGTGTGTGTGTGTGTCTGCACAAATGTGTTTTTGAATGTTTTGTGCATCGCAGCAGAAAAGGAGGTCAGGGTTTGCATGGGCATTCATCATTAGCCTGCTGCCGCTGCCGTTTATGTTACCTGTTACAACCGTGATTAAATGCCTTGCTTAGTTCCAGCTGCCAGTGCAGACACACAAACACATTTGCACAGGTGTGGTAGCAAACATATTTTTGGTACTCTTTAGATTGACTGAAAACTGTCTTTAAGACAATCATGTGAGTGTGTTGTTTAGGGTAGGGGGCTATGTTGTCCACAGATTCTAACTGGGAGCTTCAGGGCCTGATGAGAAACCTGTCACAGTCGCTCATGAAAAGAGCAATTCACTGCTCCATGCATACACACACACATACAGACAGACAGACAGACAGACAGACACACGCACACATACACACATACACATAAACATACACACATACACACATACATACACACACACACACACACACACACACACACACATACACAAATGTATACACACAGCAGGCAGGAAGTGACACTTAGTTCTGGTTAATGCATTTGTGATTCATAAGAGATGTGCATGCAACTTCATCCCCATTTATAAAAGGCAAGGCTAGTTTATTCATCATATTTTGGGGTAAAGACAAGTATTTCAGTCTTTTTTTCATTATCCATTCATTGTTTCCTTCAATACACTTTTCCAGTGAGTGTAAGGGACTGTAGTCATGTGATGACACTGAGATATACAGTTGTGTGTCATCTGCATAAGCATGATAACATATAGTATTGTAATCTAATCTGAGCAAGCAGCAGCATGTAGATATAAATCGGAGGGGTCCCAGAATGGATCCTTTGAGAATGCAACAAAGTATTTTTTCATGCTCAGATTCAAACTAACCAAATGACATGAAATTCTCTTTAATGTGCTTTCACTTTGAGACTCCTTAACCTACTCTCTCCTCCTTTTCAGTGATTCAAGACCAACAACATCTCACACGAGGTCTATACTTGAAGTAAGACAGATGTATGTGACACACTTCCTTCTGGCCTGAGAAAATGAAGAGGAGTTTAAATAAAGTACTCGTTGCAATCCTTATTTTGCTATTTTTTCAAAGCCTGATATGTTTATGTCAACATTTTCTCCCATTCAGTTGATACGTTTAATTTGATTCATAATGTTCCATTAGTAAAGTGATCAATGGGGCAACTTCAATGGTGAGCAGTGTTTGCTGCTATATGTTCCTTCTGTATCCCAAAAGTTTTTGTAAGAGGAACACCATTAGTATATGAATAATCTGAACAGTTGAAGTCTACTCCCAGCAATAAAATGTCAGACTTGAGAAGGCAGCATAAGGTTACATTTGATCATTTGATTTCCTCTAAATCATTACCAACAAAATATATTTTTAAGTCCAATTTCTGAAATCAGATAAGGGCTGCATACTAAAATTTGCCCATCCAATTTATAAGCCCAGAAGACCCCAAGTCCATTCCCACTTTCTCAGGGAAATCTCTGCATTTTAGTCTTTTCAAGTTGTCTCTTTCCTTTGTACACAGAATAATGAAGGAGCAATAGCATGGGACGCTGTTAACTTTACAAACTCAGTATCACATTTATAGTTCAGTGTTAGCTGTTCATTATGTTTTCACCTGGAGCTGAGTCCTACACAAAGTTATTCTTTACCAAAAATATTGACTGATTGATTTTTAAATGTCCGGGAGATTTTCCAGCTTTGGGATGTGCGAGCCAAGCAAAATACTTTTATACTGTTTTCAGGATCTTGTCATTTTAATCCATGACTACGGAGGGTTTCATCTGCAAATATGCTGTAGCAGCCAAAAAGCAGCACCTTTCTTGTGTTGCAGCTGTTTTGTACTTGAGTGTTTTTGAATTTGAGGCCCTTTCTACCTAACGATGATCTATTGGATCATTGCAGCACATTTGCCCTTGTCAGCCAACAAACTTCATTTACAACAAATAGTAGACTATTAACTACATTAATCTACTCAATTTTAACATTACACATGGTTTGATCTTTCAAAAAAATCTGGATTCTCTTTTTAAATTAAATTATTTCTTTTCGTTTTCAAATGTTATTCCAAGAATGTATAATCTGGACACATTATACAAATATTTTATGCAGCTTTTTTTAAGATTAGAGTCTAAATTATGTAGACCAGTCTGAACTTAGCCTGAAGTGAAGACTTCACATGACACTTCTTCATACGAGGCCCTGAGGCAGAATTTCCTCATAGAACTGTCTTTGCATGGTGAAGTATAAAGTGAGTTCAGAGTCTCTGCTCTCCATCACTTTCAGTTTCTGGCACTGTCACAGACACACAGTACAGAAGAAGTATCATTAAATCCATTGTCACTTACACAATTTCTCCCTCCCTCCATCTGTGTCTGTCTTCCTTCTTTCTTTATGTTCAGTGTATCACCTCACTCCTCTCTCATTGTACTCTGTGTTGCTGGCGTTCCCCTGGGCCTGTGCTATAAGGCGTGGAAGAGGAGCAGAGACAGAGCATTTAGTAATGGTTTCTTAATGGGCTTGTCGACAGCCACATTAGAGCGCACAGGCAGCGGGCGAGGCCGTGCTACGATATGCCAAGCCAGATGCTATGCCAGCTGTGGCACTCCGCGCTCTCACTCACACTCTCATTTGTAATCACATTTCTCATCCGGATGGACGCCATGTGCGTAAGAAAGAGAAAGCAGACAGGCTGGCATTTCCCCTAACAACCCCTGTCAGTATGTTCTGTTTGTCTGCTCGGTTGATTGTTTTCTTTGAACTACTTTTCTCTAGCTGTGTCTGCTGCTCCCACTTCTTTAAATTCTTGGTTCGAGGTTGAAACAAACATGTTCTTATTTCAATGTTTGCTTTAGAAATTTAGTGTTATGAAATTGCTTAGATAACCTGTGATTGGTAGTCTGCCTATACAACTTGAAGCACTTCAAGCCTTTCTTAACACTTCATTTGTTGTATAAAAAAGGAAACAACACTAAAAAAATTACAAACCCACATGCTCTTATAATGTAATACTAAGGTTTTCAAAATAGTCAAGTCAGTGTTGTCTATCTAACAAATTTGTATCATCTCTCTGCCTCCAACATATTTGATAACTCATAAACTACTCTTAGAAAACAGTTAATAAAATTATGCGGCCCCACCCTTAGCTATTAAATGGCCGACAGCTTACATGGCCGCTTACATTTAAAGTGTTGTACGATGTAAGAAAATCATTAACAGAAATTAATTTAAAAAATAAAAGCCACCATCAGATAACAGCTAACATTAGCTTTAAACCAGTTTCTTGCTTATAGTTCTGTTGACAGGGAAACAAAAGTATGACATTAGCATCGTTGCTTCTCACCCTGACTGCAACATCAGAGGAGAATGGCTGCATCGGGAATATGGTTAAGCCTTTTGGTAGTACAGACAGCCACTGAGGTGACTCGATAATCACAAGTGCTGTACACCATCCAATCATAAATATTCATGACCAACCAATCACAAGAGACAGCCAATAAAAACTTGAATTCATTCGGTCTTCAAACCAAAGCACTGAGCTCTCTATGCTCCATCAATTGTGTCTAACCAGCCCTGCCAGTTCTATTGGTGAATTCAGATACTGTCTGTGTCAAGTTTGCTAGATATTTAGCAGCATTTCCAAACAGCAAAACTTAAATACACATATTCATCAAACATTTGATAAAACCTTGAAATGATTGTACCCAATATGGAAAAACACATAGCCCAATTTTTTAGGTTTATTTGATAGGGTTAGATTTTCAGTGAAACTTGGCATCTAAAAATCATTTTTTATAAGCCCTGCAAAATAAAGGCCCACCAACATTTCAACTATTATGCCTAAACCAGATAGATGCTTTGATCCTGCGTCATAAAGGTCATACAGGACATGAAAAAAGAAAACTATAAGAGAAGAAAGGAAAAAGAAAATCAAGGCCAGAGGGTTCAAATAGAGGAAACAAAAGAGGATCCTAGGGAACAGGCTCAGACTAGTTTAGGCATCAGGAAGGAAAGAAGGAGTTTGATGGAGTGATAAAATAGAAAGGAAAAGAGAGGGAGGAGTGATTAAATGAAACAATGGATGATTGAATCAATTAATGAATGTTAATGTGCTACAATGTAACTAGGGACTGGATGTCATTGTCAAAGGTCTTACAGGTCTCCAGTAGAGGGAGCCATGTGTCAGTGACTCCAGTCAGTGTCAAGGACCTTCATCGGTTTGACAGGGGCTGTGTGTGAGCGTGCATGAGTGTGTGTATGTGTGTGTGCTGCCAAAGATAGAACAGTCAGAAGGTGGTTCTTTGTTTCCTCATCTGATCTGATCTTGTTGCCACTGGACCAAATTCTCCCGTGTCAGCGATGATCAGGTGTGATGAGGATGCAAAGAGAATAAAGTGTGTGTGTCTGTGTGTGTCTGTATGTGTGTCTGTCTGTGTGTGTGTGTGTTGTGCTTCTGTGCATGTTTAGCTTTGTATGTACTTGTGTATGTGTGTGTTTATCTATTGGCAGCTGATTGCATTTTAGGAGTTGAGGCCTGTGAATGGACTGGCAGACCTCTACACTCTATAGACAGCTGCCAATTGTCACTTCAGTGACTGACAGTTGTGTATTGATGGACAGTACCTGCTGACAGAGTGATGGAGGACAAAACAAAAGGAAACAGAGCACCTTCGGCAGAAAGGGGCAGAGGAGACAGCAAAGAGAAGAAGGAAAAAGGCCTGGGGAGGTCGTTGACTATGACCTATACAACTTTCTGAAGGTCATGGTAAGGACAAGCAGGAAAGGAGAAGGGAAGTAAAGTTTGCAACTTGTTCCCATGCAATTCACATTTGTCTCATTCGTTACATTTACGTAAAGATAGAAGTTGAAGCATCTTAGCCCTTAAAGCCACATTAAGTACGATTTCGGTTTGAAAATAAAGAAAAGATACACCTACACCTGAGCTTTGGCTTTCCCAAAATATATTTCAATTTTATTATCTGTGTGTGTGTGTGTGTGTGTGTGTGTGTGTGTGTGTGTGTGTGTGTGTGTGTGTGTGTTTTCATTTTGTTTTTTTTTGTTTGAAATTGGCCAAGGCTGGCTTGTCATACTTATGTGAACTTTGAAAAGGAAGCTCTAATGCCTATAGAGGAAGGTCAGATGAGCACATGAAGAGGAGTGACAGGCTGCAATTAGTCCAGAGGAAGAGTTGTCCAGGAGACAAGGCCTTAACCATGGCTTTAAGGTATGACATCATCATCATCTTGACCCGGATAAAATGATACAAAACCTGTAAATTGTATGTAGAAACACAACACAATTTGATAAATTACAAGTGTTTAAGATCCACTCTTGAGTGAAAGCACAGGCATTTGGAATACCTGGTACATCTAGAAACACAAATGTAGTGAAATGTTTTGGGTCTGGCTCACTATGCGACTCAATGATTGACTGACTTAAGTTTGCTTTTTGGTTGGCTGGCTTTTGTGAAAATCCCAAAACTCAATGCATCATTAAAACTTGCAAGGAGGACACCTTCAATGATGACTTTTTTCAGTTTTTCACAGTTTTGCATGGAAGTGTGTGCCTACTGATTGACCTTCACATCTCATCCCAAATTCTCATAGACATCACAACCCAAATACCTTGTACATACACTCATACTCACTCGTGTGTCTATGTATTTGTGTGTGTGTGTGTGTGTGTGTGTGTGTGTGTGTGTGTGTGTGTGTGTGTTTGTGTGTTGCCTCACCTCAGGAAACTTGTGGCTAATTCCATTAGTGGGAGGAGAGAGTATGTAAATGTAGGGAGACAGCTGGAGGGAACCCGAGGGGGCCAGAGACACACACACACACACACACACACACACACCCGTGCATTACTACACATTTGCAGGCATTGTCTTTAATACAATATAAGTGAACTTTCAATGAACTAAGTATTTTTTATTAACTTTGTGTTACTTAGATAGCTTTAATCATTCCTTGTTTGTATTTGGATTTTGTTACTGGAGGAGCAAAGATGGTAACTTATTATTCCTCAG